GTCGCCCACTGAGAAGGAAAAAGCAACGAGGGACTTCGTCACAGGCGCCGAGGGCGCCAGGAGGGTGGGAGGGAGGAGAGGTGGAGGACGGGGAGGAAGTGAGGTGCGAAGGGAGAGGGGCTTGGGAGGTGGTGGGGGAGGACAGGAGGGATGGGTGAGGAGGGTCGGGGGGACTGGGGGGCGAGAGGGGAGGAAGGAGATGCAGGGTGAGATAGGAGGCAAGACGAAGGGACGGACAGGTGTGGGAGGGGGGTCGATAGTCGAGGGGTTGCCAGAAGGTGCCCCTGGTCCGAGGTGTCCCTCTCGCTCCACTCTGAAGCCACCACCGGGGTCGTCTGGGCCTCCGTGGGGGCCTCCCTGGAGGCCGGGGGGGCCCCCCTGGAGATCCTGGGGACTCCGTGGGCCGGGGACAGCTCTGGCAGCACTCGGAGGATGCGGCAGTGGCCGAGCGCGCAGCCCTGTGGATCAAGACGGAGGCAGGCTGACATCTCGAGAGCCATGAAGTCCTGGAGATTCTCGAGATCTGCGGACGTATCGGGCGCCGCGGCCGCTTCGGAATCCGCTCCGGGACGCTCGGAGAGCGCTCCACGGCGCTCTGAAGCGATGCATCCCAGGCCTGCCTGGCGGATCCCCCCGAAAGCCTCGGAGAGCGTGCGAACACCTCCAGACACCTCCGGAACCTCCTCCCTCTTCCAGAACAGAAGTCGAGCTTCCACTCGAGAGGGTCCTGGCCTTCTGGGACAACCTCTGATACAGGAACCCTGTGTATTTTCGATCCTTCCTCCCTCCCTCCCTCCCTCCCTCCTCCTCCAGTCTCTCCTGCTCCTCCTCCTCCTCCTCCTCCTCCTCCTCCTCCTCATCATACTCATCCTCCTCCTCCTCCTCCTTCGTCTTCGTCCTCCTCCCCCTCCTCTCCTCCCCTCCTCCTCCTCCCTCTCTCCTCCTCCTCCTCCTTCCTCCTCGTTTTCGTCCCCTCCCCTCCTCCTTACTCCTCCCCTCCTTCCTCCTCCTCCTCCTTCCTCTCCTACCTCCTCCTCCTCCTCCTTCCTCCGCATCCTCATCTCCTCATCCTCTCTCCTTCTGCTCCTCCTCCTCCTCATGCTCCTCCGCTCCTCCTCCTCCTCCTCCTCCCCTCCTCCTTCCTTCCTCCTCCTCCTTCTCCTCCTCCTCATCCTCCCTCCTCCTCCTACTTCCTCCTCTCCTCCCCTCCTCTCCTCCTCCTCCTCCTCCTCCTCCTCCTCTCAGTTAGCCAATTTTGGCTCAAGCCATTTTGGCTCAAGGTTTTGGTTTCCCCTGGGAACAAAGTGGATACCGCTAGTCCGCGGCCAGCTTTCAATTTTCGCCTGGTTCGCCCCAGGCTGAGCGGTGCGTGGTCCGCCCCACGCATCGCAGCTTTCACCACGACTAGGCTGTGCGCTGGTCGGTGGTCAGTCCATAGAGCCACTCCCTCGGCATGGCGTGGGGCAAGGCAAAAGGCGGAGGCAAGGGCTTGTCGTACAGCGATGTCTGGCCTCCTCTGGTGCCTGGTCCTCTGTTCTGCAAGGGCGGCGGCGGTGTGCAGGATCAGACAGACAACCAGCTGCCAGGTAAGAAGTGGAAGTGCCAGGCTTGTGGTTGCTCCAAGAATGCCGTTCGGTTCTATTATTGCAAACACTGTGGAGCCTATAAGCAAGTCCCAACTTCGGCATGGTCTGGTGATGCAGCGCGTCAGTTGTTCGGATACGGGCAGCTCAACGGTGGCGCTGCGTGGGGCAAGGGTCCAGGCGGTGGCGAAGCAGGGCAGCAACAGAAAGGTGCTGGAGGTGGCTACCCCAAGGGAGGCGGCCAGCAACCCGTTCCTGCTGGTGCTGTTGTTGCAAAGTTCACCGCCGCGGAGTACGAGACCATGGCAGGCTTCGCTGAACGTATGGGAGACGCCGCAGGCGCAGCAGCTCATCGTCGTGCAGCCAAGGCCCTCACCGCGCCGAAGCAGGCAGAAGAAGCTATTCAAGTTCGTCTCAATCGGGCTCACTGGAAAGTGCATGGGATCAACAAGCGTTTGGAGTCGGCAGTTGAGAAGTACGAACAGTACGAAGCTCAGCTCAACAACCAGAAGACGGTGGTGCTGGAGCTGCGCGCCGAGCCCACCAATGCAGAAGGCGAGCATTCGACTCTCTTGCAGGATTTGGTTGAGTCTCAAGAGGCAGCTAAGCAGCCACCCGCGGCCACGGTCAAGCTGGCGTTGGAGGACATCATGGATGAGGAGCGTCTCGCGAAAGTCTTTGACATCAGCGTGTCGGACCTTTTTCAAGTGCGACGGTGTGGAGCTTGACGAATCGGACATCATCGAGATCGAGTCACGTGTGCAACAGCTCAAGGCAGGGCTCACGGCGATGGCGGGCACCCTCTTCGCCGAGGCCAAGCAGAAGGTCGACGGCCTCAAGTCCGCTCACGCGCTGCACATCAAGAGGCTTGCGGCCAAGCGGCCTCGAGTGGTGGAGCAGGAAGCGGCCTTCGAGGAACCTCCTGATGCTGGTGCACACGCTGAAGGAGATGAGGGCGCAGGAGCCGTTCCAGGCGGTGGTGGCGCAGCGGCGTCAGGCGCAGCGGGCGCTGCGGCAGCGGCTCCGTCCACGCCTTCTACGACAGGCACGGCTCGTGAGCGCGCTGACCGCATTGCCGCGGCCACTCACACAGTCAACGATTAGCTACCCCCTGGAGGCTAGCCCTGATGCTCGTCGCCTCCTCGAGTCGTCGTTCGATTGGGGTCCGCAGGTCCTTCGATCGGAAGGCTGCCTCCAGGGGGGGGGGGGGTGAAGCAGGTTTTTTACCTCTGCACTCGGAGTTCCGCTCAGTTGCGCAAGATGCCCTCATCCGCAAGAGGGGTATGTTTCGACGCAAGGCTGATCGGACCCCTGTCTCTGCCCCTGTGTCTTTGCTGGACTTCGCGATGCCAAGGGTTTTGTATCCTGTTCACTCCCTTGGTAAGTCAGGGCGCAAGGATGCCACGGACGGGGCTGTCCCGCACGTGGCCACTTCTGTTTGCCCCCCCCCATGGAGGGGGGATCTCGCCCCCGTGTTGAACTCGTCGCTCTCGGAGATTTTAAGTCAGGACGCTCCAAGGGCAAATTCGAACCCTTGGATTCTCAGAGGTCTCAGCACCCCTCTGACTGTTTCAATTCGACAGCGCTTTCGGTCAGCAATGTCAGCCTGCCTGTGCCTGCTCCTCTTGTCGGCAGTGAGCAGCCATCGGCCTCTAACTCTGACAGTATGGTGCCACTCACGATTCAGACCATTAACGCCAACTCGCGGGGCACGTTGAAGGGTTTGCTCGAAGATTGTTCTGCCCACATCGTGCTCGGGCAGGAGCACCGTCTGATTTCCAAGGAGGACATCGAGCAGGCCAGTGCTTGGTGCATAAGGCATGGATGGAAGTCGGTTTGGGCCCCTGCTATCCCCACCCAAGCGCAGGACACGAGTGGAGGTGTTGCCATTTTCGTGCGCTCTTGGATGGGGCTTCTGGAAGTCGAGGGTGCCATCACGACGCCTGGGCGATGCATCGCGTGCTCTGCGCACCCCCCTGGGACTCCCCCCATCCTGGTTGCCTCTGCCTACCTTCACCACTCAGAAGGCCTCAGCGATGACAATATGTCTCTGCTCGCGAGGCTCGGTGAGCAACTTTCGGCTGTTGGCCAGCCGTGGGTGCTCGGCGCCGACTTTAATCTGGAGCCTGCTGAGCTCGAGTCTTCCAGTTTTGTGTCTGAGTTGAGGGCTTCCCTCATCTTCCCCCTTGTCGCGACGCACTATCCTGCGGGCCCTCCCTCGACGTTCGACTACTTCGTTTGTTCGGGCGGTCTGGCGAAGGGTCTCAAGTCGGTCGATACGAGATTGGATACGGAGCTCCCCCCCCGCAGGCCCGTCCAGTTGGTGTTCCACCCCCAGCCGGCGGTGCTTCACGCTCTCTCGTTCAGGAAGCCTCCCCCCCTGCCGTGTCAGGTGGTGTTTGGCCCTGCCCCCAGAGAAAGTTGTTGGGCTGGGGAACTTGCGCTGGCGTCCGAGGCTGAACGTTGTCTTCAGAATGGAGACGGCCAGGGGGCCAAACGTCTGCTGGGCCCTCTTTACAGGAAGTGGGCCGACCACGCTGAACGTGACCTTATTCCCCTGGTGGGTGTGGCCCCCCCCCCAAGCTTGGCTCCAGGGGCCTGGGTCCTCAACTTGTGTGGAAACCTATCTTGGGCCAGGATGGTAAGGTGCGTTACCCTGGTCATCGCGCGATCCGTTGGCTCGGGCAACAGCTTCGCGCCTTCATGCACGCTCGGCGCGGAGGCGCTGCTGCCACTGCTGCCAGGCTCAGTTGCGTGTTGGTGGAGCCCCCGCCCAGCATCACGGCCGCGGTGGAAGACTACGAGCCGCTGTTCAAGCGAGCGGCTCAGGAGGTCTCCGCCCTTGGCTCTGGTGGGGATGTGGAGTCGCTCGCTGATCTGTACACTCAGGTTCACGAGGCCGTCAAGGCCGCCAGCTCCAAGTACGCCGCCAGGAGTCGATCAGACTGGGCTGCTTGGCTGCATGATGGCATCAATCAAGGGGCTAAAAGGGTTCATCAGTGCATTAAAGATCCTGTTCCGTGGGTCCCTTCTTCGACTCTCTCTGCTGCTGGGTGCGTCGTCAGTGATCCTCTCTCCCTGCTCAAGGCGGAGGGAGAGAGGTTCAGCAGCATATGGGGTGAGGGTCGAGGGGCCGAGTTTGATGGTCAGGTTGTCGAGCCTCTTCCCCGACCCACGGCCAGCGAAATCCGTGCTATCTCTAAGTCCTACAAAGATTCTTCGGCCGTGGCTGTGGACGGCTTTCACTGCAAGCATTTCTCGTTGTTGTCTGATGCTGCTCTCGATTGCCTCAGTGCCATTTTTTCGGTCATGGAAGCGCTAGGCTGCCTTCCTCCGCAGATCTCTGTCGTCGCTCTCGCGCTTCTGCCGAAGCCTACTGGTGGATACAGGCCGATTGGGGTGTTCTGCTCCTGGTTCAGGGTTTGGGGCCGCTGTCGGCGGCCCTTTGCCTTGAACTGGGAGCAGGAACACCCCAAACGGTAATGGGCTGCTGGTAGGTTTCGCGGAGCTGCCGATGTGGTTTGGCGTCAAGCTGTCACCGCCGAGACGGGTCTTGCCATCGGGGAGTCCTCACGTTCTGTTCTCTTCGATCTGCGTAAGTTCTATGAGAACATCAGTCTGAAAGAGCTCGAGGTCCGTTGCAAGAAACATGGATTCTCTCTTGCGATTGCCCGTCTTTGCATTTATGCCTACAGGTGTGGGCGCTTTCTCTGTCTTGGAGGGTGGCTGGAGGGCCCCTACTTCTGCCTCAATGGGGTTATCGCTGGGTGCTCGATGGCCACCACGTTCGCGTCTTTTGCCAGGACGGATACGATTCTCTTCCTTCCATCCCCAGGCTCGACCTAGATGTGTATATCGACGACCAGGGTCTCTCGTGTACGGGCCAGCATCGGACCGTGGTCAAATCGAACGTCGAAGGGGCCAAGGCGCTCCACGGTATCGTTGAGCCTGGTTTCGGTTGCTCCCTTGCCCTGGATAAGACCGCTGTTGTCGCTTCCTCGAAGGCCCTTGGGGATGAGGTTTCTGTTGAGATTCCGCATGTAGGAGGTCAGTTTACGTCGAGTGCTGTCAACTTAGGCGTTGACTACACGGCTGGCCGCGCGCTTAGGGTGGCGGGGCGCTCGGTTAAGTCCAAAATGCGCATCGCCAAGGCTGTGAGGGCGGCCAAGAGATTAAAGCGCCAGATTAAAGTCATCTCTCGGCCGCAGGTTCTTAGGGCGTTCTCCTCGGGGCCCCTCGCGGGGGCTTCTTATGGCGCGGAAATTACTGGCACTAGCGACCTCGAGTTGCTTCGCCTCCGTCGTCAAGTTTTCTCGGTGGTCCGACCTCGATCTCAGTTGAGATCCCTGGCGACGGCGGCTTTGCTCGACTATGATCCGTGCTGGCGCACTGCCACCGCCCCCATCCTCCGTTGGTCCAAGGAGATTTGGTTGGCCCAGACTGGGGCCTACTCCTGGGGTTTGGGTTTTCCCTCGTTGCGTCGTGCGTGGGAAGCTGTGTTCTCCAACCCTGCCTGCTCCTGGAGAGCGGTCGCGGGCCCCGTGTCGGCCCTTCGGATGTCCCTGGTTAGGCTGGGCTGGTGCATGGACAACTTCATGACGGTGCGAGATGACCGTGGCTTCTCTATTCCCCTCGGCATTATCTCGCCTGCCTTATTCAGGATTTTGCTCAAGGACGGTTATTTTAGGATGTTGGAGCGTCTCTCCGCTGAAAAGAGGGGAGTGCTCCCCAGGATATGCTACGATGTGCTGCGCGAGGCCCTGGCCTCACAGAAATACACGGCCCTCCAGAAGGCCCACATTAGAGCGTTCGCCACCGAAGCCTTTTTCACTGGAGATCGTGCTGTGAGCTTAGGCTACCTCGTGGACGGCAGTTGCCCGTTCTGCGGCGCCTCGGACACGATCTTCCACAGGCTGTGGGAGTGCCCCCACGAGCCAGTGGCTGAGCTTAGATCTTCTCTAGTTGAATCTAGTACTGTAGCCGAAGCCTTAGCAGCTAAGGGCGACGAGGAAGCTGTGTTCGTTTTTATATCTGGGGCTTTCCGCCACCCCGCCGATGGGTACCCCAGGCCCCTCACTGACGGACAATGGCCCGTTTCTTGTGTGGCACCACCAAGATATCTCGTCGCCCTCTGGGGCTAAGCCTGGCATTGAAGTTTGGGGTAGCGTTTTCATCGACGGGTCTAGCAGCCGTCACTCTGTTCGGGAGCTCTCCAGGGCTGGCTGCAGTGTGGTGATGGTCGACGATCAAGGGTCGGCCGTCGCCGAGTTTCGGGCCCCAGCTTGGGCCCCATATCCTCAGACTCCTCAGTCGGCCGAGTTCAGCTGCTGGACTTGGGCCAATGTGCTCGCGTCGGCCTGCATAGATGTGTTCTCTGATTGCAGCAATGTGGTCAATCTAGCCTGTAGGCCCAAGGCCGAGCAGCTGTGTGGGAAGAGGGCCTACGCCGGGGCTTTCCTCCAACTCTATGCCCAAGGTATCTCGCCTTCCACGTGCACAAAAGTCGCAGCTCACAAGGATCTGGATGAGGCGGGGATCGACGCTGCTGAGCGCTGGAGGCGCCTCGGCAACCATCATGCGGACGCGGCAGCCAAGCACGCAGTGCATCTTCATCCTTCGTGTCCAGGCAAGCTAGCGGCTGCTGATAAGCTTGTCTCGCAGGCACGCCAGACTATCAGGCTGGCGGCCCATGTTTTGCATGTGTGGCCTGCCTTGGACCTCTCCGAGGTAGGACGAATTCCTGCCCCGCTTGCCGCTGCCGCTGCGACCGCAGGGCATCGCTGGGAAATGTGGTCTGGAGTGTGGCGCTGTGCTGTTTGCCTCAGAGGCAAGCGATCTCAGAGTAGGCCCTTGCCAGGTGTCTGTTCTCAGGTTTCTCGGCTTCACGCGTCCAGTCAGGACGCCCTCGAGCACCGTA